AACTACATTGGTCTTACAAGCACGACCTTGAGCCGACGACTCACATGCCACCTACAATCTGGAGGACCTAAGAAATACATGCGGGAGGCTCACAATGAGACCATCACCCGAGCGACATTGGAGGCCTGCACCAGCATAGTTACTATGCGATGCCCTGACCCATCGAGACTGATGATAGCTGAGGCCCTCATTATCAAGAGCGAGTCTCCGGCTATCAACCTCCAAACTACAGGATTCGTCCGGACGCTGAAATTATTTTCAGAGTAATTTTTAAGCTAATATTTCGAATTGTATCCACTATACCTTTGATATGTACTTCTGTCATTTCAAAAGTCAATTTCAGATGTTGTAAAACCTTCACTAGCTTGATAATGAAAATTGTATTTTCGAAACGTCGCAAACTATTAAAATGTCATTCGGAAACCTGCTTTTCGATCTCCCGACGCCAGCAAGAAATTTGGTTCGACTCATTGAAAAAACGAACAAGAAGATTGTTAATAAAAAGCATGCTCTGGTCTTCCATCAAACTTGCATAAAAGAAAAGCTTCTGCCTAACTACACCAACATATATATAGGTATATGTAGTCGAGTTGATTATCATAAAGCCAGGCGTTTGTACCCACCATATTCGTGGTGGGTACAAACGCTGAGGCCCTGACTCACTGTGTAATAATAATACCAGGCAATAATACGGCGGTTACCGGCCAGTCAGAGCTGGAGGTGTGTTCGTCAAATTAAACGTTGCGGACGCGGAAGACGACGTCATCTTCGTTCACGTCAACATGGCCAGGGTCTGGGAGCATCATTTTGCCATACGCGTGTTGGAGGAAATCGTGGCCGAAGTCCTTCCACTCGTTGTCCAAGCGACGCGACCCTACGCGCTCGTAGATGTACGAGTCCAGCTTGTGGCCTTAAACAAAAATACGTTCATGCACATCAGAACGATACAACAAATTCAATGCCATTCAGTTGTGATGTTATTTCCTGCATGCGATTCATGCTTTGCAATAAATGATGAGCCTAAAGGCAGCAAAGTAAGGAGAAATGCTTGCTTAGGAGAACCAAAGAAATTCAGCACAATGGAGCTGGTCTGCACTATGTACAATATTTAACAAAGGGATGCGGAAGAAAATTTATTGTTCAGTGAAAAACATGTCAGATCAACAGCAGGAATCTATCTCTTTAACAGATCGCATCAAATATCAATTCATTATGACTTATCCAAAGAAAGTCGAGACAGTTCACTTGATATGCTCCAGTAACATCAAAACGTGTGAGAAAACCTTTGATTTTGATGAGAGGATTTGCGAAGGTCACATGGTGAGTGTACTTGACATGCAGTACGAGGGGTTGTTCGTGGTCGAGATACAGTGAGGGGAACCTGAACCTGCCCTCAGCCAGCGCCTTCCGGCGCAGCGCAGTGAGCTCCTGTGCCGTGGCGAGATCCACGGTCAGCATCGCAGCGCCGATCTCGACCAGCTGAACGTGGGCCATGAGCCTGCAGGGCAACACGCATTAGGGAGCTGCTCTACGGTAGCGGCTAGGAGTTAATTTTAAATTAGCGCAATCCAATAGCATTTATTTGAAATTGCTTCAATGGAACGAACATTAAATTTGCGCCTTTAAATTAACGCAATCCAGTAGCATTTGTTTTAAATTGCTTCAATGGAACGAACATTAAATTTGCGCCTTTATATTAGCGCAATCTATTAGCATTTATTCAAAATTGCGTCAATTGAACCTTAAAATGCTTTTTTAAATCAAAAAATTTCCTGTTACAAATTAGAAACTTAATTAGCTTTGAAATCGCTTAATGGGCACCAAATTTTCTTCAAAAATTCTTAAACTGTTTCAGTAGGAAGCAAGTTTCCGTCAGCTATTTTACTATGAAAGCGAATTCAACTCGTATATTACTGCATGTTTATACCGTCATGTTAATGAACAAACAATAAAACAAATTTACGGTGTTAAATTTTCTAGCTTATCGCGCAACAATATCTATATTAAACCTGAATAAAAACCTGTGTTTCGGCTCTATAAGCTGAAACAAAACACGTTTCGCAATGAGGCATTCGGTGCCCTGGAGAGCAGTTCGAGTAACGGCATGACACGTTAAACCGGTCGAACGAGCATGCGCTCCGTTTGAACCGCAATTTTTATGTTCTCCTCGAGATTAACATAGAAAAATTTGAAGTGCAGTTTTATGTATTTACCGGTAAAAGTCATGACCGATATCATTATATCATAACATGAATAACTATTTAAAAGTTAGTTAATGCATGTATGTTTCCGGCACGATCCAAGAACCCAAATTAAAAGTACATTAATCATACGAATTGTCCTATTCTAAATCACCATCAAATGTATAAGCATCAAAAAATGACAAAGATTCTATATCTAACCTTTATTTGGATGCACAGTAGCATTGAGCTAAATATCCCGTTTCTTGACAACTGAGAATTCAAACTCTCCTTGCCCACCCAGACACCCGCACGACCGCTCTGCTCAAACGCACTGGCGATCACTGCAGTCTTGGAGTTGTAAGTGACCTCACTCATAGCTCCTCCTCTTTTCAGGATATGAATCTGTCACTGGATGGATCTGACCAATGATGGCTTACTGATGTTCGAATCATGTTTATCTAATTACTTAGGGCAGATAATTACAGACCCATGGCAAAGCGACATAATCTTATTGCTGTCAGGTCACGGTTGTTACTTCGTCCAGAATAAATGAGTAAATCACGCATTGCAGCTTCCGCAATTATGCATCTAAGGATATGTAATTATGATTGTGTTTTTTTTTTCAAAGCGCAGTTACACGCGTTGTTGGAAATTTTAATCACTTAGCTTCTAATTTACGATCAGAGCTTGTGATTTAACATCGTGAGCCAAGCAAATCCGAACTTAACGAATCTACTGGCATTTATTTCAAAATGTTCTTTTTTTGTTTCTGAATGTCATGAGCGAACATAGTCATTATTTCTGGTATAGTTATAATAGCGGTTTCAGCGTTTAGTAGACCGAATCGACACTTCAGCGGACTCGCCTGCGAACTGGCCTGCGGACTCGATTACAAAACCTAACTTCACCTTCAACTCAACCAGCCATAAATCCATCAACAATAAACGGATTTTATTCAAATTTTAAATTTAAGTAGATAATATTAGTAATTTGTGGACGAAATTTGTTCAGATTTTTATATCAATTTTTTTTAGTAATATGGAAAACCTAACTTTTTTTTCAACTCAACCAGTCATAAATCCATCAATAATAAACGGATTTAATTCAAATTTCAAATATAGGTGAATAATATCAGTAATTTGTGGAAGGATTTTTTTACAGATTTTTACATCAATAACTTTTTTATTAATACGGAAAACCTAACTTCATTTTCAACTCAACCAGCCATAAATCCATCAATAATAAACGGATTTTATTCAAATTTGAAATATATAAGTAGATAATATTGGTGATTTGTGGACGGAATTTTTTTAATTTTTACATCAATAACTTTTTTATTAATACGGAAAACCAAACTTCATTTTCAACTCAACCAGCCATAAATCCATCAATAATGAACAGATTTTATTCAAATTTCAAATATAGGTAAATAATATCAATAATTTGTGGACGGAATTTTTACATCAATAACTTTTTTATTACTACGGAAAACCTAACTTCATTTTCAACTCAACCAGCCATAAATCCATCAATAATAAACGGATTTTATTCAAATTTGAAATATAAGTAGATAATATTGGTGATTTGTGGACGGAATTTTTTTAAATTTTTACATCAGTAACTTTTTTATTAATACGGAAAACCTAACATCATTTTCAACTCAACCAGCCATAAATCCATCAATAATGAACGGATTTCATTCAAATTTGAAATATAAGTAGATAATATCAGTAATTTGTGAACGGAATTTTTTCAAATTTTTACCTCAATTACTATTTTATTAATACGGAAAACCTAAGTTCATGTTCACCTCGCAGGTTAGGTCCTAGTCAGGTCAAGTTTCAGTATTTTGTGGCATTAGAAAAAAGTAATTGATGTAAAAATCTGAAATAGTTCTGCCCACAAATTACTGATATTATCCACTTTTATTTCAAATTTGAATAAAATCCGTTCATTATTGATGAATTTGTGGCTGGTTGAGTTGAACGTCAAGTTAGGTTTTGATTCGAGTCCGCAGGCCAGTTCGCAGCCGAGTCCGCTGAAGGGTCCGACCGGCGATTAGTACTTTAGTAGGCCGTAGGCCTGTAACCGATTCTTAACATTGCAGAACATTCACAGTATTTTGCGGTCTCGAACTTGCAACTCACTGCTACAAGTCTGCTGTGCTTAATTTTGGTTGCATTATTACAAGCTAATATAAAGTTCAGTATATCAATATCTCTCACTTTTACGCATTTGTTTAACCGCCCGGCCTCCTCGCGATTATTACCAGAAACTGGCGCACAGAGCTGGGATCGAACCCGCGCCTCTCTGCTCCAATCTTGGTACTCTGCCACCACTGGGCCACCCTGCCCATGAAAGCGACATGGACGTCTTTATGCTCGACGAAGTTCCTATAGGCTGTAATGATTTATTAAAAAATTCGACCTGCTTAGGAGTAGAAAACATACCAATGAATATTCGGACCAACAATATTCAAGCTTTCATTTTTTATATTCTGCAATATTAATAAATGTTCGATAACTGTTCACGTTATTTTTTATGAAAATCCATGATCATGGTAAACAAAAGATCAGCAGTGAGAATAAAGCCTTTACAGTTTACATATATGATCGTTGCCACCAGTGCAATTTTTCGACATATAAATCATTCTGATCATCTTCATCGAATCTGCAGATATGATTTGGCGTTTACTAACTTCGCTTGGTCAAGTGTCACTATAAAATTTCTAAATTCTTCTTGGAGTCACGGAAAATTTGTACGTGCAAGATATCCTTGCCTTCTTGGAATGTCAAGCCCGAAATTGTGATGTACGATTGGTTTTTCGCTTGTCGGAGTTGTAATTCGCAGGCCTTACGGTCGGGATGGATGGTATGGGTTATAATGCATTGAAGAACAACGTATTGACCGTTAACTATGTGGAGTAGCAGCTTGTGTGCTGAAGCAGTGTTGGATTAAAGTTCGTGTGGTGAGATTGGTCAATTGACTACAGCTGCTTAGGTGCCAGGATGACAATATCTATAACATAACATATTGATCTCGGCGCTGAAGTGTAGGCCTGACGTGGCCTGTCGCCTATTCTTTTCCTTTTCGTGCCTTGTTTACAGAAGATCTAAAATCATGTTATTTGACGGGATCTTTTTATGGCTGACGATAGCTACTAGACTTCCACCGGGTTCGATATGGTGCTAAGCATTTCAAATCTGAACATATATTTTTCCATAGCTTTATCTAGTCTGTTCTTGAACGCGTTCATACTTGGAGCACCAACGATGTCATCGGGGAGGCTCCCCTCAGGGGGGACTTCTGACGGGTGTCTGTGCTCGTCAGAAGACCTATGGGATTTCGCGCTCCTAGGGGGATTGTTCCTGAGCGCCCCACCGCTGAGCTCGCGGTGTCTGACTGTAGGTCTCAGTTGTGGGGTTAAGTTATTATGTAGGCAGGATTCCTTACATTTCCCTTCTCTGTCTCTCTCGTGCGGGCGGCCGACGTCTAACAAGCTTAGAAAATTTCAGCTCCTTGTCGACATAAACTCCGAGATCTTTTTAGCATTTAGATGGTTGCATTTTTAGGATTTAGATGGTTGATGTTGGCTCCAGGGCTGATTTGAGCGTTAATTTGATGGTCTACGGCTGCGCACCCGACGTTCATGACATCAAGGATTTCTCAACTTCCCAGTAAACGTGATGACCGGCCATCTTGGTATCCCCAAATCCCTTGATTCGTTTCCCATGGAGCTGCACTGAATATTCCAAGCTCTCACTATGAAAATAAATCCATTTGTTAGAATTAATTAGTTTTGCATCATGTATTAACGTCTATTTGTATTAGAAAACAATGAATGTGCATGTAATGACCATTTAACAAATGCTCAGTAGCAGGCGTGCAGGAAGTCATCGCAGAGCAGACGACGCCGGAGCCAGCACATGCACATGCTTACTTTGAACCTTCCGGCCACATTCGGGCAAGGCTTCCAATAGTTGTCTTGTCTAGCTCCAGAAAATCTAATAAAAAGCCAAGGCTGAACAAAGTGGCGTTACCGTACATTCAAAAGCTGATAAAATCACAGAAACTTTCATAGCAGGNAGTCAAACGAAAAAATTTTCGTTGATAAAATATAAAATGATTTTTCGAACATTCACCACATAATTTAGAAACTTACAAAGACGTGAGCTGCAGCGGTGGTTTCCCAGTTTGAAGTCGACTGCTCGTGACTGTAGGAGGCAGCGAGCTCAAATTGGCGCACCTACAAGGAAAGAACCACGTATCAAGTTCTGGATTTTATACAGTGAACGAAAATAATTACACGGAAATTACGTATCAAGTTCTGGATATAATCTACTAAGCGAAAATGTTTACACGGAAATTACTTTATTATAAAACTAATCGTCAGATCTTGTCCCGTAATGTGTGACGTCTAAGAAGAGTGTCACAGACCAAAGTTGAAAATTTTTCTGTTGCATTTTCAGACTGCATATGAGGCTTGTTGATAGACCGATAGGGAGAATTTATTGACAAATTACGTTGAAAATATAGCATGTCAATAGAAATTAAAGCATGTCAATAGAAATTCGCGCGTGAATTTCTCCAGATCAATTGCCTCTGAAATTTCATAGAAGTACAATAATAATTATAGGCATTCACTATAGCAATAAGATAAAAGTCAGTTCTATAAATATACCAAGATTCCAGCTGAAGGTTGCAAGTAAGGCCACCAGAAGTTAGCAAGAATTTCTAATTTGCGATTAGCAGCCGCCACGAGACGACAAGTGTGCGACAGTTTCGTCTGCTGGAGTGTGGGAGGTCCTACGATGCTTCTGTAATAACACGACAATATTAGTCAGTAACAGCATAAGAACATTCCTTACAGTACAAAGAAAAACTGAATTCAAATTTGTAGCTCCGGAAATTAAATAAGGCGAAGAGTGACTTGTCCAATGACTCGATTATTAAAATTTATGTATGAGAGCACAGTTCAAAGGAACTAACTGTTCGCTTCAGCATCCAAATCAAATTTAAATTCATATTTATCTAATCCAAAGTTTTTCATAAGATGTAGTGAAATTTTTAAATTGATTATATCTATGCACATAGGTTAGGCCACGATTTAGTATACCTGCCTTTAAGTTTAAAGTGCTTTACGAAATGAAAAACAGGTTAAAGTCTCACACTTCGGCGTCACTATGCAGTAACAAGGTAAGTAAGTAAGCCTCACTGAGATATATTTTCCATTTACTTACGTGATCGGTAAACTGAGAGCTTCTGACAGCGAGTCGTTCGTCTCAGGTCTTCCGCTCTGCGTAAGACAAGAGCAGATAAAAATTATCGGATAATATGAGTAAGTCAATATGAGTTTTCTAACTTATTCACTCATTAAAATTCTCGAATATGGTGTGTTTTTATATGCACATAAACATGTTGCAATATCTCAGACTTTTCGAGATGAATAATGTTGACAACTTTATTCGCATCATCCAGCGATCGCTGCTGGACGAGTGGTGCGCTCGTCGGTTGAGTGACAATTTGTAACTTCTCCGAATAAAATAATTTTCCGGAAATAATATAACTAGTTTTTAGAAGAAAATTATGAATTATAACTTTACTTACATTTGCCAGCGATTGCTGGACGAGAGCTCGCGTTTGCCGGTGTGTAAGGAAGTCTCTGAAGACAACAACTGTTGGCTGGAGGGCGACCTCCTCCAGACGCAGAGGCATCAGCAGCAGATAGGGCGACCCGAGACGCTCCAGACGACACACCAGACGCGACTGTTCATCGCTCAGCTGCAGTAAATAAATTTATTTTTAGCGCATTTTCTCATTTATGGAAAAAATGCACTATTGTGCTCGCCATGTCCGTCTGTCTGTCTGTCGGTCCGTCTGTCCGTGACCTCAAGTTTTCGTCGACGAGAAAATGCGCTCTCTGTCACTCACTGCAGTGAGTACTGAGTTATATTTTTTATGAATCAAGTCACGAAAAGTTCAAGAATCGACAACAGGCCATGGGCCTATTTCTTCAATGCCGACACTTTTATTCTATTATATTCTATTAGAGAGAATATCAAGGGTAATTATAGCGTTCATCTCGGGACAGCGAACATGGCCGTTTGTGGAACTGTGCGTTGTAGTGGATCCACTTGGTCGTTACTGCGCGGATAAGGAGTTGATTAATAGCCTGCCTGTATACACATTATTGAAATTATTAGATTTTTTAAATTTTCTGTATATTCATGATTTGTCTGAGGGCAGTATAGGTTATAGAATGCGATGATCAAAATTCGCTGGAGAATTGATAGCTTGAAATAAACGCTATTTAACATTTTGATAATCCATAACAACATAGAGGCTATGTATTTAGAAATGTGTATCATGGATATAAGACTGGAACTTTATAGTTATTTTGTTAGAAATATCGTTGTAACTTCAAACGCTCGAAGTTAGAGAAACTAACTAGAGTTGTTAAATTGTAATATATGAGCAATTAAAAATTTATGCTCTTTTCAACAAGAAATTGGAATAGGATTGCATCTTACTCCATTTTGAGCCGTGCAGCACAGGACAGGCGCCATGTCGTGTCAATTGGTCGCGCTTGCCGCTCCTGTAGAGGTTGTACCAAAACAGCGCCGTGCCGAGCTGAGGCTCTACGCGCACCCCCAGGTGTGGGAACACCGTCGCTCCTCCTGCGGTCACGTCACTCAGCTGTCGGTCAGGAGGAGGTTAATTTTAATAAAAAAAATTTAAAGTCACGGTTGCATTCAATCGAGAAGAATTTTTCTGCTGCTATCAAGCGCACGGTGGCATGTTAATAACTTGTTAATGGATTCGTTACAACACCGTCAATGTAATTCGTATCCAACGAATTATAGCATTGGCCAGGTTACTAATAATCATCGTTGGTAGATGAAGGTTTAAACGGTTAGATTTAATAAGCTCTAAAAGGGTTAATTATGCTGGAAAAATAAACCAGTAGGGCAGTAGCACATGAAGACAAAATTGAAAGAAGCATACTTGAAATTTTTTAGTGACACTAGTACGGGGAGTTACAGACAATTTTGGTGTTTTTCTTCCGTTGTGTTGTATTTCAAACACCAAATTCACTTCCCACAGGCCCTGTGTTAAATTCTGTCTCGCTAGCCGCTGTACGTAAAACGAATAAGCTATACTAACCCACGTACATTTCCGTTTATCGATGGTACGATTAACGGAAATTTTTAATCGTCATTTGTTCATCCCAATTTCTAATGAACCGAAGCCACGTCGTTCATTTAATCTTGTCCATATAAACAGATCAGCCAGTTACTGACGAATTTGATTGGTACCCGATGTGGTCCGAATAACTGATCGATCTTTAATTCCGTTAGAAAAACTCACGTACATATATAAGGAATGTCCCCAGTCTGTCGCCCATGCCTCTGAAATTGGTCATGCCGAAATCGGCATGTACGTCATATAGGCCACCAATGCCATAGTTGGCAACCTGAAAAAAAGTGTTACCAAAAGAGAATTTTAAAAATATTATCACATTCTGTTGCTATTAAATGAATTTATATGCTCGGATAGCTTACTTCAAAGGGTAGACTAAAATGATGACTAAAGGTATTCAGGTATTCTTCCTTTATGGATAAATAAATAAAACGCTTCAGAAGCCATTCATGCAGCATGTTTATCATCGCTGTTTAACCCATATTTTATCAACCGACACAAATAATTGATCGAATTCCCGCATAATGATCAATTCAAGCGCTTCAAGCCCGCTGCCCAGCGGTTACAGTTCAGAGTATCAAGATTGGCGCAGAGAGGCGCGGGTTCGATCCCAGCTCTGTGCGCCAGTTTCTGGTCAGAATCGGCAAGGAGGCCGTGCGCTTAAGCACAGCAGAATTGCAGCAGTGAGTCGCGAGTTCGAGACCGCAAAATACTGTGAATGTTCTACACTGTTAAGAATCGGCGACAGGCCTACGGCCTAATAACGCTGAAACAGCTATTATTATTATAAAGACATACAGACTCTGGTCCGTGGTCTTAACAGAAGATGGGATCTTCATAGAAATGATCTGTTGGTCTCAGGTCTGGCCATGTGGCGGATGGATAAAAGGCCCTCGCATGCCTAGTTATCCGAGTCTCAAATTATTGATGGCTACGGATCTGCAAGCTTAAATGGTTTGATGGCTAACCTGATAATCCTCAGCCTCGTCCGAATGCGAGGCGTGCATTTGAGTCGCGATCTCAATTTTGCGTGTGATCTTGTGGATGGGATCGTAAGGATTTAGCTCGTCCGGCAACCAGCCTCTGCAGAGAGGAATTAGAGGATCAACAGAGGGACTGATGATTGAAATTAGAGGATTTAGTATTTATAAGAGGATTTAGTATTTTATTTTATTGTGTTTTAATAAACACATGATATATGGTGGATCGGATCGTAAGGATTTAGCTCGTCCGGCAACTAGCCTCTACCGAGAGGAATTAAAGGTTCAACAGAGAGACTGACGATTGAAATCCGAGGATTTGGTATTTATCTTATTAAAGGGGCTGAGTTCACACTGATATAGCCAGCTCTACAGCTGAATCATGTTTGTAGTTGAAATGTATAACCAAATACTCATTTGTGTATAGAATAGCACAATGATTTCATCATCAAACTATGGCTTGAAAGTGTGAACAGAATGTAAATAATCGGTTTTTGGTTTTCTGTTCTTATGAGCCGATCAACAATTCTAATCTCACGATCATCAACTTTCCGCTGTGTCAAACTCACGTCATGCTGACACATATCAATATCATGCTGATGTCAAACTCACGTCATGCTGACACGTATCATGCTGATGTCAAACTCACGTCATGCTGACACGTACCATGCTGATGTCAAACTCACGTCATGCTGACACGGATCATGCTGTCAAATTCACGCCATGCTGACACATATCATGCTGATGTCAAACTCACGTCATGCTGACACGTATCATGCTGATGTCAAACTCACGTCATGCTGACACATATCATGCTGATGTTAAACTCACGTCATGCTGACACGTATCATGCTGACGTCGTATCCATCCATGTTTCCGTGCGTCGACTCGTGCAGCTGTGATAGGAATAGTCCAAGAAATTGATTAAAATTTTGATTAACTGTAGTTAAACTCCATAATTTATCAGAACTTTTAAAGTGTATTCAACCTGCAAAGTTGGTTTAAAGACAAGTATAAATGATAACTTGGTAATTAGTCTGTCCGACGTCAAAGGCTAGCGGGTTCACCTTTAGTATTTATCGGTAACATGTTTCAGTAGTTTCACGCAGAGAAATTTGCATGACGTTGTCCAATTAGCGTTACAGTTTTTGCCGTTGTGTGGGTCAACCTGGTCCACTTTGGACCCGGTAAATCATCTTATTGGTGCTAAGAGCAGGAAGTTTGCCACTATCTGGACAACATGTACGATTGATTTTTCTAAACTTTTTAATGGACTTTACAGACCTGTGGTTTAGCCTTCTTGATGAGGAATTTGGTTTGTTTGGTAGTGAGAAAGTCCCTGAAGAGAACGATCCTGGGCTGGAGGGCGACCTCCTCCAGGCGCAGGGGCATCAGCAGCAGAAACGGCGACCCAAGACGCTCAAGCCGACACACCAGACGTGATTCTTCATCGGGACTCTAGGGCGCAAAATATTACAGCCTCATAACGAAATGAAATCTATCTAATTACAGCAAATCGCAACACGGCAAATCAAAACAGTACCGGACAAGAATGAAATAGATTTCGTGTCATCAGACCAGAACGGGAAGCGGCAAACTAAATCGTGAAGCGACAAGTAAGTAAATCGATTTCAAACTCACCCTCAAGTTCTCGCCTCTGCAGAGTTTATTTTGCATTTTTGCTTCTTCTTCGTACGTAAGCAGAACTTTTTCGGTAGGCATATATTCTTTGCTGTTGCCTTTTGATTTCTTACTTTTCTTCTTTTTCTTCTTTGACTTGTCTTCTAGTGCCATTGACTCGTACTGCAATAAAAATAAAACATGCGTTTCTCATCATTTCGAAAGCAAATCGTTAAAAAAGCAAATGAAATAACAAAGTTCATTAAATTACAACGCAGATATTGAAAACTAACAATCTCCCGCACAAAAATTATCAGTCGCACCTTCAAAATTGTAGATCTCAGGCCGGTAATAATTTCTCGTTCTTCATCAGTAAGTTCTTCAGTGTCGCTGTTTTTAACGGCGAGTTTGAACCACTGAATGGCACGCTTGTTGTAGCCAAGCTTGACGGCTTCTTTACCGAGCAAAATGTAGTCCCATGTACGAAGTTTCCCGAGGCTCCGTATATCTGTTGGGAAAAAAACATTTTGTACACTGGCAAAACAATTATATTTAATGATGCACTGTTTACATAAATGATTCCTGATGCAGGACACAGCAAATTAATATCATTGTCAACTGGAAAATTTTTGAACAATTAAAGGCGTTAGCACGATTTTTTACGCAATGGAAAATAATTGAGTTTATAGAGGTTTTCTTGGTCTATCGAGGAGACGTTCTAGTACAAATATTTTGACGGGATTGACTTATGATATATTTCGTTACCAACCGATTGCACTTGAAACATCCCCAAATAATCAATTTTAGTAAATAATCTAATGAATGTTGGGACTAACCTAATGTATACCGGGACTAACCTAATGTATACCGGGACTAACCTAATGTATACCGGGACTAACCTAATGTATACCGGGACTAACCTAACGTTTGCCTAACCGTAAACAGACCGTGATTACTGTTGGTGACGGCCGCAGGGATGAGGCCGTCCCCGAACTCCTTCATGTTGAGGTCGTAGAGATCCTGCAGCCTTATGAGGGCCACGGCCGCACCGTTCAGGTCCGCGGCCACCGGGAAGTTGTACTTCTCACGGTCGTGGTCACCGTCATCGAGAACTTCTGCGGGTTTCATGTTGAAATGATTAGAGTTTTCATTTTTTAACTGAAATTTACAATTGATAATGTTATTGGAATATATAAGTATAAAATAAGTAAGTTCTGGTCAAGGAATAAATTATATTTGAGTGTTATCGGTATTAATTTTAATTGCTTCAGAATTACAGTGCATTATATTATCAATATCTTCCCTGTAAGCAGTAGTAGTAGTATAAAGGTTTGCTGGCGCTTCAGCTATCAATCTATTTCGCACCGGAGATCAAAATATAACATCGCCAGCAAGGTGGAAGTCTCAGTTATTCAATATATCAAGTTAATCATCACCCACAAGGGGCGGAAGGTCTTAATTGTCCAGTCCGCTGAAGCTAGCTCGAAGGAAGCAGCGTTAGCATCTCAAAGAGACGAAGTGACAAGGAGGGACAGGTAAAAAGCAACAGAAACGAAGACACTCGAACAAGCGGTCGCTTACACGGGACGTCGGCCGCCCGCACGAGAGAGACAGAGAAGGGAAATGTAAGGAATCCTGCCAACATAATAACTTAATGTAAGGAATCCTACCTACATAATAACTTAACCCCACAACTGAGACCTGCAGTCAGACAACGCGAGCTCAGTGGTGGGGCGCTCAGGAACAATCCCCCTAGGAGCGCGAAATCCCATAGGACTTCTGACGCGCACAGACACGCGTCAGAAGTCCCCCCTGAGGGGTCTTCCCTGTAAGGAGTAAGACTTAAGACTCGCCACGGTGCAGAATAGACTAAACTCAGCTTTGTCTCTTTCTCAGAATAGCGACGGAAAATCATTCTTTATTTAACACGCCATCATGAGGAGTGGATGCACGGACAAAATTTTAAAATCATAATTAAAAACACTTACTGAAAGTGTCGTTGTGAAGCTTCAATAAGGATTTTTCAATGTCATGCCATTCTTTTGTGAGTCTCTTCATCAGAAGGTAAGTGTCAACTGGATGCTGTACGCCTCCGGCGCTCATCCTTGTCACGGCTGCTGAAGTTTTCTTATGAGTCTTTACATCATATTTGTCATACTCAGCCTGGACCAGCTGAATTTCACTTTGGACTTTCACAATCTGAGATTCAATATCCTCAGTTGAAGTTTCATTTTCTTTTTCATCTTGGTGCAGGAAGTTAGCTAACGGAAAATCATCACCTCTCTTGTTCTTACTCGTAGCCGTCTTGGACTGAAGTTTTCTCAACTGTAAACGTAATTCGCCTTCTTTCATTCTAAAACCCAATCTTTTTCTCTCGTAGTATCTGTCTTTTGATAAAGAATCTTCCCCCAAAAGCGATTCAAAATCCAGAGCTCGCCACGCTTCTATGTATCTGTATATAATCGAAAATTTTAAACAATAATTTACAAGCATGATATAATTTTATTTACCGGTATCTATTTAAAATTTTACATCAACAAAATTCAAGAGAAAATTACGAACAAAAAACACGTTGAATTTGTCATTTGTTTACCTTTTCAAAGACTCCAAAGTGTTTTCAGCGCTCATATAATATTTCTCCAGTCTCCTCATAATTTCTCCTTCAGGATGGAGCAAATCTTCAACGTTGGAGATGGAGGCAAAAACTCCGCTCTTGAACATGTAGTTTGTTTCGCCGATAGCGTTGGACGCTGTCACCAGGCACACCAACACCACATTCAGTATCAGCCCAACCTAAATATTAAATTTAATGATTTCAGTTACTGTAGAAAAAATCATTTCCAGGCACAACAAAGCTTTGTCAAAAATTAAATAAGCAGCGAAAAGCAAACAGCAACACCCCGTGCTACCAAAATTATTACTATTCATATAATTTTTGCAAAAATGAATCCTATTATTGCAAGATTCCGGAGATCCGTGTATAATTAAATTGAAGCTGCTGTTCGGCAACGAATCTTTATTTTTGTCAGCAAATGGAAAAAGTACGATTAGATTTTAAAGTTTGAATTCTATCTCTCAACGAACATACAACGTTGAATTCTCTTGATGATCTATTCTTGGTAGTAGAAAAATGTGAATTCTGTGTCCTCCGTGAGCGCATACATGATTTTAAGAAACTAAAATAAATTCCTTTTTCAGTCAGTCTTTTATTCTAGAGCGATGTGCTCAGCACAAATTTTTTCCCACAACCTCGTGGCCAGGGCAGACAAAGAGTCCAGGGGAAAATAGCGGTGCATCGGTCACCAGAACCTGACAGGGCAGGAGCTACGAGTCACCCTTGATAATGGAGCTAAACAGGTTCATCAAGTTTGCAGGAATTTTAAATTCCGTGGATCTTACAATCTCGTCGGAAATCACAAGTGAAGCTCGAATGTGATTATTAATTATGGTTTAAACATATCAATGTTATAAATTTTAAACTTACATTTTTTCTAACAGAATATTGTAACTTAATGCGCCGTTTAAACAAAGACGAGTCATAGACGAGTCTGGATTTAAATCTTCTGTGCTTATGAGTTAGTGCACATTAACACAAAATTATTTATTAGTTGAGACAGATTGATTAAAAAATGGTAAGCAATCGGGGAAAATCAAAGAACGGGATGATAATTTTTAATTTTTTTGTGTGTAGTCTTACATATTTCAGCTTGGAAAATAATAGCGTTTGATTTTTTGAACAAAAATTCTTCGCCTCAATTCGAATTTTACAACTCAAATTTTCAACTCCAAAACTTGGGCACTGACCCTGGCCATAGCTGCAAACCTCCAGCGTCGCACACCTCCCTCCACTGAAGCTCGAGTAACACTAAGGTTTTTTTTACCACGTCTGGAACTCGTTACAACTTCAACCGAGATCTCAAACACACGGCGGCACTTGAGGTCATTTAACCCAATGATAATGGCTTTGAACTCCAGGGATTACGGGTCTTGGCATTACATTGCGAGTCTTGGCATTGCATACGCGATGTTTTTGTTTATTTTCCTGCCTCGAAATTAGAACATTCAACCAATATTACTAACATGATTTGAAGAATTTCATGTCTTAATTTGAAATTGAGTTAATTTGTCACAAACGTAGACAAAATTTTAGGTGAACTTTAAACAAACACATCTTGCCATCATTGTTAAATTGTGTGTGTATTCTAAAAATTTGTGTTATGTCTTCCGTGAAATTGTGTTTTGCATCTGTGAAATACAGAAAATTATTCCTCGAACGGTGATGAATTTATAGGCATTTAAATTTTTTAGCATTATTTTCAGCTCGTAGTCTATACCCGTTCATATAAAGAATCGAGACCAATTTATCATAAACACATTAATTATAAGCTTTGATTCGAATGGAAAGTTCCAACCTTAAAATAAACAAAATGCATGCATGGGCTTGACGAAATTATTCGTTCACAAGGTTCATTGTTTGTCGCACTTGACCGATTCGACGACCGCAAAGGTGGAGACTGCAACGCTTCACTGCATGTGATCCACACTCACAAAAATATTAAAAAGTAACATTGTCAAAATAATGAAACACTTTCCTACATACAGCTCCAGTAGAGAATAGACGTAGCACTGATACGCCCACTTGCCGGACCAAACTGGATCAGGATAAGTCATAAAATTGCATGGCGATTTGGAAAAAGTCTCACTCATTTGTCTGTGTGCAGCAACAATTGTCGAATGTTAAGCTTTTTAGCGCATTTTCTGATTTATGAAAAAAATGCACTATTGTGCTCGCCATGTCCGTCTGTCCGTCCGTCTGTACGTCCGGCTATCTGTACGTCCGTGACTTCACGTTTTCGTCGACGAGAAAATGCGCTCTCTGTCACTCACTGCAGTGATTACTGAGTTATATTTTTTTTAAAATAGAGCGGTGGGCAAGTAAAATTTGCAGAGGTCCAGCGATAAAAAATTTATTTTGAAGTAAATGATGAATGTCATTCTTACCTATTTATTGGATATGTATTTAATACACTGCGTAATATAATGTCCGAATGGGACGGCATCCATGTTAAAAAAAGATTAAGGAATACGTGAATATATAAAATCGAAAATATTTAATTCAATTCCAACATAGTTTGCTGTTAGCTACATCAATACATCTCGAGTTCATAAAAATCCTGGTCTGATTTAGTTTGAAAAAATTAGAATATTGCAAACTTAAAACGATATTTGCATCTCATCGAAATTAATAAGCATACTTAAGCACTATAAAATATACGTTTCTAATCACTGAAATAAATAAACAAATGAAATAGGTATACAAGATTTCAAGCAAAAATTATACTAAAAAATAATGCAAGTCTATTCAATAATGAAATAGGCATTGATAAAAATTCGAATTCATTTTCTTGAACACAACTTAATTTGTAAAAAAAATCACAAGAAACGCCACAATTTTGAACGTTGTTTAGTTCAAATGGATGTAAAGGATAAAATTGCAAACAAACGAGTTTTTTATTCAACCGTGGAGCAATGTTTTATATAAATGTGTGTTATAAGTCAAGAAACACGCCCGTTAATTGCCTATAAAAATTAACTTTCGTCGACAGTTTTTTATGTTAATTTCTTGACATAAGCCGCACATCCGAATTTAAAATGAGGTGAAAAAGAGCAATGAGACAACAGATATAGAATAAGACGTAAATACGTACGACTTTACTCAATTAAGACACAAGTCAAAATTTGTTAATAATTGAAAGACGATATTTATTCATTCACTGCTTCATTAAGTTTAAATTAAAGCTAAAAACGATCAATTGTTAATGGAATGCCCTGTCTGACTATGCAAATCTCAACATATAAATATGAAAAAAATAGTTTGTAGGTACTGCTATTTATAAGCAAACATTATTAAATAAAAAGTGAAATTTAACTAAATACATTGGCGCGAGCCGTGGCGCTAGGCGCGTGAATTTAAAATTCCGAAATTGCTACAAATGCAGTAAGAAATAAAATTTCTCGTATAGCCAATTCCCAGATTTCCATTTGCTAGGGCAAATGAAGCCAGTTTTGTATTTAATTTTTCAGAGCCAACTTGGAGTTCCGAACACATATGTGAGGCATGAATTATACATAATTTGTAGTCAATAGAGTATTGTAGTCAATAGGAAAAAAATAGGCGGCAAAATTGTTCTAGTTTGCAACCTTCTATCTCAGCATTGAGGCCTGCGCAGGGAATGCTGATGGCGGAGTGACAGCTCCGACGCCAACTTGCTTGCTTGCAACTTTTATGGATTAAAAGAGGGAAATTAATTAATTTAAACTAATAATAGTAGTTTCCTATTGAATGAACAATCTGCCCGTTTAATAATTTCTTAATACGATGTCAATAACAAAGGTGCACGTTACAATAATCTTTAGATTTAGCGGCAGAGCAAACGTTTGTGACAACTGCTAAAGCTAAATAGAAACCAATGGACACTGGATTATGGCTTAGAATAAAAATGTTTAAGAGACACTTTGATAGTTAATTATTATGCAATAAAACTGAATAATAAATCTGATTGGTATTGATTTTATCGAAGAAATTTTGTTATGGTATTGATGTTAATAACATAATTACTCTTGTGGTAATTATAACGGAGTGAGAATTGGAATTGCATATGTCAAACTTCATATATTTGTGCACGTCGCTTAACTGTCGTGAGGGCAAGGAGTCCAAGAGAAAAATAATAACATATTTACTCTTGTGGTAATGATAACGGAGTGAGAATTGGAATTGAATATGCCAAACTTCATATCTTTGTGCACGTCGCTTAACTGTCGTGAGGGCAAGGAGTCCAAGAGAAAAATAATAACATAGTTACTCTTGTGGTAATGATAACGGAGTGAGAATTGGAATTGAATATGCCAAACTTCAGATCTTTGTAGAAGGTGAAATACAAGGAAATAATTTTTGCAGGTGAATTCTTGATTTACACCTGTTGGCAACTAGGTATAAGGCATAACGTGCGAGAAATAAGTCAAACGAAAAAATTTTCGTTGATAAAATATAAAATGATTTTTCGAACATTCACCACATAATTTAGAAACTTACAAAGACGTGAGCTGCAGCGGTGGTTTCCCAGTTTGAAGTCGACTGCTCGTGACTGTAGGAGGCAGCGAGCTCAAATTGGCGCACCTACAAGGAAAGAACCACGTATCAAGTTCTGGATTTTATACAGTGAACGAAAATAATTAGACGGAAATTACGTATCAAGTTCTGGATATAATCTGTCTCTTATACACATCTATAAAATAAGTAAGTTCTGGTCAAGGAATAAATTATATTTGAGTGTTATCGGTATTAATTTTAATTGCTTCAGAATTACAGTGCATTATATTATCAATATCTTCCCTGTAAGCAGTAGTAGTAGTATAAAGGTTTGCTGGCGCTTCAGCTATCAATCTATTTCGCACCGGAGATCAAAATATAACATCGCCNTAACATAAAATTGAGTCAATTCTGAAGAATATTTCTTAAATTCATATTCAGGCATATACAGAAACAATATGCACGACACGAACGGGTCTCTCTAACACTTGCTACTGAGCAAGTATATATTTTATAAAATTAAAAATACTAAATAAATTTTGATTTTTAAAGTACAAACGTACCGGCCGCATGTGGTTAGAGCAAAGATGAGGGAACGGAGGCCCTACAATTCCATCAGCATTTTTCTCGGGTGAGTCACTTCGAATCTGAGAAGTATTCAAAAATTTGGGAGTTAAATGATGCCATTGAATTTTGTTCAAATGCTCTCCCGATATATATTTTGCATGATGTTAAAAAAATTTTCATTGCAGCGACAAAGGCAAATTCAAGCCAGTCGTAGGTAAATATTAAAGTCCTTATATTTATATTGACTTTAGTCCTATTTTTTCCAGGTTGCTCACAAACTTTTTTAAATTCACTCAGGAAGGCCACACAGGAAAAGAAATTTTTGAATTTCAATGGCAAAAAACTTCAGAAATGTTCGGAAAGTCAAATATGGGCTGTTTGGAAATTAAATTAAGAGTTTCATTCAATGGACATTTTAAAACATCTATTCATCTTCCTCTAGTAAACAAATTATATCAGACACTCTACCAATAATTTATTTTCCAGCGAGCGCACAGCCATTAGATTGAATGAATAAAATTTATTTCTCGGTTAAAAATAGAGATTACATAATTTTATCTGTTCTATAGCTAATAATATCTCATATCAATATCAAAGATACATAAAATATTAAATATAAAACAATATTTTGAATTACTGCCTGCTTTTCTTGACGTTCAATTTGCAGCCGCAATTGAAGCATTTCCTGACGGAGAGCTTGTTCTTCCGTCGTCAGTTCTAAGGCGCTCTCGTACCATGACCTCGCTAGGCCGTACAGGTTCTTACTGAGAGCAGTGCGCGAGAGCAGCATTCTATCCCACACGTCCAAGAACCCAAAGCTTCCACCAGTATCTTGCATGTAATGTAACCAATGTTAAACAAAAACATGAACCAATAATAATAGATCAATAATAGCTCGCATAAATAATGTGTGATGTATTATATTTAAAGTAACTTGTGCCAACGTGAATGTTATACATGATGCCAATATAGTCTTATCAAGAAAATGCGTACTAGACTACGAAAAAACTAAATACGTATTACGAAAGTTTACTTATAACAAAGGTAAAACAAAAAAAAAGTGCATGCAAAAAGTAAAGACTAATATAGTACTAATGCACAATCTTCAATTATTAGTTCTAACCATCCATGTCCGAAGTTTGGCCATCTTGCACAAAGCCCCTGGCAAGGTGAGAGGTGTTGAGATGATACGTCTCCTGCAGGAGCAGTAAGCCCTCTGCTGCGGCCGTCAGGTCTTCTCCAGAAAGCCCCAAGGAGTCTCTCATGTTTGTCAGTTGGGTGAGCATATCTGCAAATAATACGTCGAAGAGGGCCCCTCGCTTTATAAAAATAAATGATTTCCCTTGATCAAAAATATAAAATCTTCCATGACCTCGAAGATGTTTCAATCAATCGTCAGCTATGGAAAGATCGGGTTACAAAGGCCGGGTCCCTTGTGAATCAAGTCACGAAAAGTTCAAGAATCGGCAACAGGCCATGGGCCTATTCCTTCAACGCCGACACTCCTATTATATTCTATGTCAATCGTTGACGATCTACGAGTGGAACTAAGTCTCGTAATTTATGCAGCTTACTATTGTTCCATGCTAGAATAAAAATTAAGTTTTTATACAATTCTTTACAGAAGTCACAAATTAACCAGGACTCCGAAAGCTGCGAATACCAAATACTTACGCCATAGTACCATTTTGCGATAATTTCGCAACATTTTCATTGAAATTATGATATATTTTCTTGTTTTTATTTAATTTTAATTCGTAGAATAAATGTCTAATATTTACATTGAAATAGATGATGTTATATGAGGGAAATATCTTATCACATAAAACGTGAGGCATTAGAACATACGTTTCACGCACCTTCGAGAGTGACAAGCATGTCCATGAGAGCGTTACTACTGGCCATATAAGTCTTTGTGATGCGCTTGATAAAGAGGAAGGCATCAATAGGATGCATGCTGCCCCCCGCCATTTTTCGATATTCTTCCATTTTATTTCGGCGCTCCAACGTTTCCTTTGAGATTTCAAAAACACCTTCACGCCGTTCGTCCTCTTCTGCATCTGCTATAGATGCCATCCGCACTGCTAGCGCAATTCGCGCGCGATAGAAATCTGGCGAACTGTTCTCGAATTTTAGCAAGAATCGTTTTTCTGATAATTGTCTGAAGTGACTCGGCGAGTCTTCGGGCAACACCGCCTCAAAATCTGTCTCTCGCCATTCTTCTAGAGTCCTGTGTGTTCAAATGTAATTTCTCAGAAAGTTTATCCGATGTAAATATCCGAAATAAAATAAGTAATAAAAAATAAATAATCGCTATAGTGAGCAAATATATATGATTTGTAATTCACACAAATAATAATCTAGTCTCGTATCATTTCTTGAGAACGAACATATTGCATGTTTTGTACATGAAAGATTCAGACGTTGGGTTAGCGATCCTGAGATTGATAATCTATATTAAATACTTTAAAGAATTTATATTGACTTAGGAACGAAATCTATGCCGTTTGAGGTAGTTGGTGCCGTTGACGATGCTTGTGTAGAGTTCCTCGAGCTGACGCACGGTATCTGATTCAGCGAGCGCCAGCGTCTCCAGGCGTAGGGGCGTCAGACCTAAACTGAGTGACGATGATGAGGCTCCTGGCAGTAGCAGGGCTACTGACAGAACCATCACCTGCTGGCAGGAAGGTTCTTGATGAATTACTGATAGTATAAACCCATCGTTCTCGAGAAGACATATGTTTGAACNGACCGTGGGCTGGTTCGACACACGGGACAGATACGGACGGCTCCGGCGCGCTCCGTCCGGGTGGTGTAAATTTTTTTTCGCGTGTCGGCAGACGACACTGGGCCATACGACGCCAGGTTTATTTTCCTGTGGGTAAATTGATCTAATTCAATGGATGTGATCTGTCTGGTGGCGTGCGGCTGATAATGTTACAGTCAATATGTGTTGTAGGCTACGTTCTTCAGGGAAGGGATCACGATAGTCCATTCGAAGCACGGCAGTGGGGGTCTCCGACAGGCGTCCCACTGCCGTTAATTCTTGAAAGGGAGGTAAAGTAGCAGGGGTGAGTATCGTTTGACATCAAATGTTCAGTATGAAGCTACCTCAGATGTTACCCTGAATTATGGCACGGAGCAAGTGTTAAGGAAGATATGACACGTAATTAATCATATTGAAAACTAAATAATAGTTTATTGTTTAACAGTTTGTGAAACTCTGAGCTCAAGTCGGGTACTACCTGTCTGTCAAGTGTAGCCTCCGCTACGGGCTAGAAGTTAAGCGGAAATTTTTAATTTTCTCAGTCACTTAAATTTTGATGGTTATAAATTTAAATGAAAAAGTAGAATGCTTAATAATCTTGAATAATTAACCGTGCTCAATTATTCCACTAT